TCTGCTGCTTCGGCCGGCCGTCTCCTGGACGCGCGGGCGCGGGGGAGGGGGACTGCAGTCTGATTCCGGGAGTCGTTTTCGTCGCTCTGTCTCTCTCGCACCCATAGGGACGCTCCTTGAGTGCGAGAGGGACAGAGCGACGAAAACGACATTCGGAATCAGTCTGCTGACTCAGCACGGCTGCCGCCTCGCCAAGCAGCTCTGCGGTGACATTGCCACTGCGATCCCTGACTGCAGGTCGAACAGTGCATCGTCGCTCTGTCTCTCTCGCTCCCGCGGGGCGCCCCTACAGTGTGCCAGACAGAGCGAGCTCGGAGTGCGCCGTCTGCAGGGCCGCACAGTGGGCCAGAGAAGACCGGTCAAAACTCCAGACACGTTTTGAGCAGAGTCACTAAACAGGGTTCGAACGGAAAGTGTGACCCCACCAATGGATTCCTCGTTCGGAGAGCAATCTATTGGTGGGAATCACACCTTCGGTTCGAGTCCCATCTAGCGACTCTGGAGCTCAAAACGCGTTTGGAGCTTTGTCCGCCTCCACCTGCCTGCTGGCCCACTGTGGGCCGCACTGCGTCGTGAGGTGGGCGTCGGCGACGGCGACCTCGTGGGCCTTGAGTGACGTCACGGGCTGCAACGCGGTGCTGCGGCGGCCAGGCCCACTCCTAAGCACTGCTCTGTCTCTCTCGCACCCCTACGGCCCGCCCCACGAGTGCGAGAGAGACAGAGCGACGCAGCACCGGCCGTGCCGAGCGAGCCCGTCTTGGATGTCAGTCGGTACCCGTCGGGTGGGTCCGCTACCGGAATCGGGTTTGCCGTTCGCGCGCCTTTCCGGCGGGGCGTGGCGGGGCGTGGCGGGGCGTGGTGGGGCGGGGCGTGGCGGGGCGTGGTGGGGGCGCCCTTGGCGGAGGCCGGAGGCGGCAGCACGGCGTCGACGCCCTGCCCCTGGCTGCCCCTGTCATGCCGAGCCGCCTCCTTCCGAGCCGTCCTGCAGCTCATTCCATGCGGGGCCCCCAGTCTGTCTCTCTCGCACCCGCGCGCGACGCACCGCCCGTGCGACAGAGACAAGAGACTCACATCCCGCTCGGAGTGAGTCTGCCGACTGGATCCCGTCTTCGTCATTACGGGCTGCAGACTAATTCCGAGTCTCTCTCTCTCTCTCTCTCTCTCTCTCTCTCTCTCTCTCTCTCTCTCTCTCTCTCTCTCTCTCTCTCTCTCTCTCTCTCTCTCAATCACTCACTCACTCATGGTGCTAAGGGTGCGAGAGAGACGGAGGGACAAACCGATCTTCGGCATCACTTGGCTGCACCGCTTCGTGTGTCAAGGCTGACAGTGTATGGCGTGCGGGGCGTGCGCGGGCAGGCCGTCCCAGCGCCGCCAAAATCCGACGCTGTAAAATGGGGACCTTGAAGGCGCAGGCAAGGCCTCGGTCTCTTGCACTGGGGCCTACACTGGGGCCCGCTCGGGTACCGTAGCGCAGCGTACAGTGGGCCAGGACGACCTGTTTCGGTTTACAGCTCTGGGCACGGCCTCCGGAGCTTCCTCAAACAGGACTCGAAGCAATGTGTCATTCCGCGCCAAAAATGTGACGTCAGTAGACCGATTTCGAGAGTCGTTTTCGTGGCTCCCTCTCCCTCGCACCCAGACGGGACGCCCCGTGAGTGCGAGAGAGACAGAGCGGCGAAAACGACTCTGAGCGTTCCGCCGCCCTTCCCCGAGGCCTTTGCCCGCCCGTGGACCCGTCGCGTGTCGCGTGGCTGCCAGGCTCGGCTCCCCCAGCTCATCAAGCAGTGTAGGTCGTGGGTGCATGGCCTGGATTTCCCGGCGACCTCCCCGCCATGGCGGTAGCCACCGCAGCGGCACTTGTCGCTGATGTTCTTGTTCTTGCTGTCGGCGGCTCGGCGGCGCGACTGCGGCCGAAACCGCGCCACTGATGCGCGTGTTTTCGTCGCCGAAGCCAAGCCAAGCCGAGTGGGCTTCGTTTGGGGTTTCCCGTCGCGATGCATTCAAAGTTCCGCGACAACTGGACTCCAGAAGACGCGCCGCCGCTTTCTAGAAACGTTCGCACGGGGTCGGTTTGTTTTTGTTTCTGTTGGCGTGAGGTGACGGACGTACCAGCCGCCGGATTCGTGTTCGCGCCACTGCGGCCTGAGAGTCGTGGCTCTGTCTCTCTCGCACCTACACGGCACGCCCCATGAGTGCGAGAGAGACAGAGTCTGCAGGTGATGACTGTGCCATCCGGCGGGAGTGGGCCGGCCCGTGCCGCGGAAAGTACCCGCTGGTACCCGCACTGCGAGTCCGGAATGTCCGAGCAGCCACTCATTGGCGCCGGAATATCATGGCAGCAGAGAGAGAGAGAGAGAGAGAGAGAGAGAGAGAGAGAGAGAGAGAGAGAGAGAGAGAGAGAGCGAGAGCGAGAGCGAGAGAGAGAGAGTGAGAGACAGAGAGAGAGTGCTCGCATGGCAACCGAGGTGAGCACGACCCACAAAGGTAATTCAAACAAAATTCGTCAAAATACCTATAAGGTACACTGAACACACTCAGTGGCAGTATAATAAAGGCAGCTGCTCCGAGCTGCTCCGAGCTGCTCCACCATAATAGAGAATATTTTCACCCTAATAGAGAGAATCTTCAGTACACAACAGTTAGAGTGTGTCGGGCGGGGCCCTGCGCGCCCTTGGCGCGGTTGAGGAAGGTCGGGAGAGGAGCGTGGCAGCGACGCAGAGCGACGCAGAGCGTTCAAGGACCTTCCCTTGCGCGCCTGACCTAGAGGGAAATGCGCCGCCAAGGCTGGCACGGCTGGCCGGGGAGCGGGACCAGAGTCCCTGTGTGATGACCGGCCATGCCCCCAGGAGGCTGATTCCGAAAGGGAGCTCTCTCTCTCTCTCTCTCTCTCTCTCTCTCTCTCTCTCTCTCTCTCTCTCTCTCTCTCTCTCTCTCCCTCTCCCTCTCTCTCCCTCTCTCTCTCTCTCTCTCTCTCTCTCTCCCCTCCCGCGCGAAATCAGCCTGCAGGGACTCAGGGCGGCGTGCCAGGATCTGTCTTCCTCTGTGTCTTCTTCTGGGCACCCCTCCCCTCCCCTTCCTCCCTTGCTTGACTTCTTTGTTTCGATATCTAGCGCGCGCTTTCAGCGGAATGTGTTTGTGGCGCTGATACGAGAGCACGCCGTGCTGCAGCGACGCGCTACCAAACGCTTCCCCCAGGTGCTACCAACGCCGCTACCAGGCGCTTCCACCACGCGCTACCAGAACCACGCGGTCGCGGCCCGTCGCGGCGCGCTGCCAAACGGTCGCTAACAAGCGGCCTGGCCTGGCAGTGCCTGGCAGGGCATCGCTCCCATAGCAACAACCTCAGCGCCCCTCGAACAAGGCGGAAAAAAGGAAGCAAATGCGTGGTGACCTTCTTGCCGTGCTCGTCGAAAATCATTATCTGAGGTGCCGCCAGCCGCAGCCGCCAGGCAGGCAGGCAGGCAGGCAGGCGGGCGGGCAGCAGACTGATTCGTTTTCGTCGCTCTGTCTCTCTCGCACTCATAAGGCGTCCCGTATAGGTGCGAGAGAGACGGAGCGACGAAAACGACTCTCGGCATCGTCTGCTGCTGGCGCTCCAAGTGGCAGAGAGGCTCGGCTCGTCAACTCGCGCCCGCGTGTCGTCCGCTACCGCGAGCTGCCGGGTCTGGTCTGGCCGGCCGGGCCGCACCAACACACGGGAACGGTTTCGGCTCGTTACCAGAACACGGCATCGCAGGAATTCTACTTCCTCGCTTCTAGACTCTCTGCTTGTGCCGCAAGGGCGGATCCAGAGATGAGTCGCGGGGGGAATCGTTGGCAACCTTTCAGGTGATTTCGCCACCTTCGCGGACGAGGCGGTGGACGCCTCCTCCGCCTCTCCGTGGATCTGTGTCTGTTGGGGGCCGACTACACGGTAAAAACGGTTCCTGCGGTTTTCCAGGGAACCCCCTGGAAATCGCCTATGTCTTTACCATAGACTTCCTGGGAAAACCAGGTACCAGTTTTACCGTGTACCCAACCTGCGCTAGAGAACTCGGGACTCTTCTTGAACTTGAGTCCACACCTCTTTTTGTGGGTGTAGCGGTCGGGGCGCTACAGCGGCGGCGCTCGGACGGTGGCTCCATTGCCAGCATCGCCAAAGACATCGCCACGGCATCGCCACGGCATCGCCACGCCGGTCAAGGGTCGCGTCAACAAATTTGTTTGGCCTCTCGTCTCGGCTTGTCCCGCAAGAAATAACAGCCAGAGGCAACGCCCACGGTGTCCTGAGGGCCACGAGAGGCGAGGCAAAGGCCCCAGAGACCGCCAGAGACCGCCGAACCGAGGCGGCCGGCAGGCGAAGGCCGGTTCCGGTCTGTCTGCGGCGCACTGCGGTGGCGGAGCACAGTGGGCCAGAAGACCGGTAGAGGCGGACAAAGCTCCAGACGCGTTTTGAGCTCCAGAGTCGCTAAACGGGACTCGAACCGATCGTGTGACCCCACCAATGGATTGCTCTCCGAACGAGGAATCCATGGGTTGGGGTCACACGTTCAGTTCGAGGCCTGTTCAGCGACTCTGGAGCTCAAAACGTGTCTGGAGTTTTGTCCGCCTCCACCGGTCATCTGGCCCACTGAGTGGAGGTCAGCAGGATGACTCACTTCTCGACGGCCAGCTCGCGCCGCTATTGCCTATTACTCTTTGCAGTGTCACCGCGTGCCAATTTGTTTTCTCTCATAAAGTCTGCGGCTTCATTCCTGACAGAGTGAGATCCCCGCCAAGATCTGGCGGCACCTTGGCTGCCTGCCGCTCAATGAGTAGCAGACCCCAGCCCCCTCCCCTCTTGCTCGGCCAGCCGACTGAGGGCCGTTTCGCCGCTCTCTCTCTCGCACCTATACCGGACGCCCCATGAGTGCGAGAGAGACAGAGCGACGAGAACGACTCTCAGTCTGCAGTAGCAATGATCCCCGCCCTGCTTAACCTCTCCCTCGCTCGCTTAACCTCTCTCTCCTTGTTGTTCGCAGACGCGGCGCCCGACGTGGGCACGGTGGCCCCCGAGGTCGACGCCCTGTTCAGAGTGAGCGGCGCCAACCTGGAGATCAGCGTCGGCGACCTGGACCTAGACCGGCTGCTCCCCGACCGGACGGACCGGGAGTTCCTGGAGAACCTGACCACCAGAATGCCCTACGAGATCGACGGGGCAGGTGAGGATCATGAATGGAGTCAAATTGAGACGGAACGTCAAATGAGTCCTTTGGCAGTTTGACTTTGAACGTCCACGGTAACAACGGTACCTGGTTTTTCCAGGAGCCCTATGGTGGAGACATAGACGATTTCCAGGAGGTTCCTGGGAAAACCAGGAACCGTTTTTACCGTGTCTGTCGGGTAGGTCAGGCGCGAGGTTAAACCGCCAGGCAGGCAGACAGACTGACAGACAGACGGACAGGTAGACAGACACAAAGACAGACACAGACAGACAGACAGGCAGGCAGGCAGGCAGCCTAGTGCGGGCCATGAGTTGGCCGTGGCGAGTCTGGGAGTCCGACCCATTAGCAGTCTGCTCATGAACGCACAAGGCTCGGTCCAGACTGCCCCCACATGAATGCAGACAGACAGACGGACAGACAGACAGAACGACAGACAGACAGACGGGCAGACAGACAGGCGGACGTGGAGAATGGCAGCGAGGCCACCAGGAAGGTAGGCAGCCCTGCGTCGCCCCGTCGCTGGGCAACAACTCCCACGGTGCAGCGTTGCACAGTGGGCCAGAAGACCGGTGGGCCAGCCAAAACTTTTGACGCGTTTTGAGCTCCAGAGTCGCGGAATGAGATTCGAATCGAACGTGTGACCCCACCAATGGATTGCTCTCCGAACGAGGAAAATCCATTGCCTGGTGTTCGTCTTGGTTCGTGAGCCCTGCTTAGCGACTCTGGAGCTCAAAACGCGTGTAGAGTTTGGCCGCCCACCGGTCTGGCCCACAGCCTGAAAAGGTGTTTTGTCAAGTCAGGCAGCGATGGGCCTTGATAGCGACACAGGCTTTAAGGTTTTTTGACTTGAAATTTCTCACATCTGTTCTTAGTCTATCATGGCCTTGTTCCGTTAGGGCTTGTTTCAAGAAATTTGACTTGAAGCAGCCAAGGCTATGGTTGACTTGAATATAGAGCCTGCGGTGAAATACGCGTCTGGGATTATTTCCGGTCGTTAAGCCCTTAAATACCATCACCCGCTAGATCTTGGCCACACAGTAATTGAAATAGCAGACTCTGTGACGATTCCTTTCAGAAAACGAAAGGAAATATGGCTGAATTAGATGGTCACCACAGAAACGACTTTGGCGCCTTGTCACCGCCCGACGTGGTTCCGCCAGCTGCCGCAAGAGCGCGCTGCGCGCGTTGTGCTGCCGTCCGCTCGCGGGGCAAGCCCCGGTCGCCACTTAGGGTAGTTCGGAAGTAGGGCCGCGCGAGGACGGGGTGCGACAGGACCCCCTTGCATCGGTCCTGTAGTGACATGATGAACATGTTTCTGGGAATCAGCAGCAAGAATTTCGGTTCAAGTCTAGCGCGTACTTGTTTTCGACCAGTCTTGAAACAAGTAGGAGTGACTTGAATCAAGCCTAAATTTCAAGTCAAAAATATCAAGTCTTTTACTAAACTTGATTCAAGAAACCATTTTTCTGGGTGCACTGTGCGTTGTGGAAAGGGTTGCCAACCTCAGCCTGCTGAGCGATACCGGTGCTTCCTCTCGAGATGTCTCTTGCAGGCAGGCTGAGGTTGGCTTCCCTTTCCACAGCGGTGCTCCGAGGGAGCTGTTGTGGCAGCACTGGGCTGGGGCGGCCGACCGGCTAGCTCACGGCGCAAGTTATTGGCTCAAGGCGGACGGAACGGGGAAGGAGCGGAGCGCGAGTTGAGTGACAAGGCGGCCTCTGTCCCTCTCGCACTGCTGGGGCCGGCCGGCGTGCCGCAGGGGTGCGAGAGTGACAGAGCGACGAAAGAGTCGGTCTCAGTCCGCAGGGGAAGGGACAACTTGTCTGCCAATAATCGCTCAAGTAGCGGCCACTTGCTGCGGCCCCGCTCTGCGAACAGCGAGAAATCACGCCCAAGGCACCAAAGGCCTGAAGCCCAAGGCACAAGGCTCTCCTAGCCGCCCTTCCAGAAACAGCAGTTCCAATTTTAGTCCGCGATGTCGGTTGGCCAGCACACTGATTCCGAGAGTCGTCTCTATCGCTTTTGTCTCTCTCGCACTCATGGGGCGTTCCGCGTGGGTGCGAGAGGGACAGAGCGACGAAAACGACCCTCAGTCTGCAGACGCGACAGCGAGACAAGACGGCCACGCCATCGGAATGAATGACAGAACGGAGAAGCCCCCTTCCCCTCCACCCCGCGACGCCCCGCGTGACGCAAGTGTGTTATCGCACTGCCAGCCGAGCAATCCCGAACACCGTCGCTCTGTCTCTCTCGCACCCGATGGGCGGTCCGCATGGGTGCGAGAGAGACAGAGCGACGGCACGCAGTGCGGAGTCAGTCTGCGCAGAGCCGCGATAAGCGCTAGGCCGCCTGGTTAAGGCCACCTGGCCGCTAAACCGTCTGCCGCTCTGTCCCTCTAAAAAGCACCCTTACGGAACGCGCCCCGAGTGCGAGAGAGAGCTAATATGGGACGCTGCAAGAGTGCGAGAGAGACAGAGCGACGAAATGGACTCTCGGCATCAGTCCGCTGGCCGAAGGTGGCAAAGGTAGACGACCCAACGCGGCGAGAGGCACACCTAGGTCAAAGGCAGAACAAAGGCAGAGGGAAGAAGCCAGGACCCCGGGAAAGCAATTGGGCGTCAGAGGCAAGAACTCAAAACAAAGGCACAACCAATGCACGCTTCCGACAGGTTCACTGTAAGGCAGGAGGCAGGTACACTGTAAGGGAAGTGCATTGTAAGGGAAGTGCACTGTGAGGGAAGCGCACAGTAAGGGAAGTGCACTGTGAGGGAAGTGCACTGTAAGGGACTTGCACAAGGAAGGTGCACTGTAAGGGAAATGCACTGTAAGGGACTTGCACAAGAAAGGTGCACTGTAATGGAAATGCGATGTAAGGGAAATGCACTATAAGGGCAGTGCACTGTGAGGGAAGCGTACTGTAAGGGAAGTGCACTGTGAGGGAAGTGCACTGTAAGGGAAGTGCACTGTAAGGGAAGTGCTCTGTAAGGGAAGTGTCCTGTAAGGGAGGTGCACTGTAATGGAAATAGGATGGAAGGAAAGTGCACTGTGCTTGCACTGTAAGGCAGCTTGCCCTGTAAGGCAGCTTGCACTGTAAGGCAGGCGCACTGTCGCAGGCAGTGCACTTGAAAGGCAGATCACACTCAACAGGTTATCGACACTGACGCTCGCAGATTTGGCCGAAGCCGGGTCGAATGCGGGCTCCGTGCGGCGGTCAAACCCCTGGGTGACGTGGGGCGCGACGGTCCGACCCACGGCCTTCCTTCCACACCGCGCGCCTCTTGGCACGTCGGTCCTAAACGGCCCGCGGTGGGGCCACGGCCCACCACGGCCCCTCAAGTCCCCGCGCAAAGAAACGGCGCGGGCCAGAGGGCGTCGCGCGCACTTCCGGGCGCGACACGCGGCGCCGACGTGCTTTGCAGTGTGGGAGCGGCACTAGTCTCATTCCGAGAGTCGTTTTCGTCGCTCTGTCTCTCTCGCACCTACAGGGAACACCCACGAGTGCGAGAGAGGCAGAGCGACGAAAACGACTCTCGGAAGGTGCGCAGTGTGGCGGCCTCCACCTTGGCGAGGTGCGAAGCGCGAGGCGTGCGGAGCAAAGCGGCGATCCATGAGTCGCTCCGTCTCTCTCGCGCTCACGGGCGCCCCGCGGAGGTGCGAGAGGGACGCTCCCTCTCTCGGAATCAGTCTGCAGGATTAGAGGCGCCACCCTCGGCCCCACACCGTATCACTGTGTCAGCGGGCGGCGGCGTGACGCGGGGCGTTTTCCAACGCGGCCAACGCGCAATTCGACGACGCGCGTGGGGCAAACAGACAGACGGACAGACAGACAGACAGACAGACAAACAGACAGACAGACAGACAGACAGAAAAACAGACAGGCAGGCAGACAAACAGACAGGCAGACAGACAGACAGACAGACAGACAGACAGACAGACAGACAGACAGACAGACAGACAGACAAACAGACAGGCAGGCAGACATAAACAGACAGGCAGGCAGACAGACAGACAGACAGACAGACAGACAGACAGACAGAAACAGACAGACCGGCCGACAGACAGACAGACAGACAGACAGACAGGCAGGCAGACAGACAGGCAGGCAGGCAGACAGACGAGAAGTGACTGACACACAAACAAAGAGACTGGCAGACATACGTTTGCAGGCAGATAGACGGAAAGGCAGACGGACAGACAGGACGCACGCACGCACCGCCCCCGCGCGGGGAAGGCCGGAAGGGCAGGGCCAGGCAGTGCACCGTGGGGACACTGCAGGTCGTTTCCGGTTCCCCGTTCCCGGTTTCCGCTCGAGGTGTCGCCACGGCCAGGTTTACTGCCGTCGACACGTTCTTGCGACTAAATGGGACTCGAACCGAACGTGTGACCCCACCAATGGATTGCTCTCCGACCGAGGGATGGTGGGGTCACACGTTCGGATCGAGGCCTGTTTAGCGACTCTGGAGCTCAAAACGCGTCTAGATTTTAAGCCACCTCCACCGGTCTTCTGGCCCACTGTGCGTTGCTGGCGGCCGTTTGGGCGGACCGCTTTGGTGTTTCGGGGTAACCTGTAAGCCATCACGGCCGGTGACGCAGAGGAGAGAGAACGTTATCGTCTGAATGAGCCAAGCGGCGAAGCGGCGAAGCGGTGAAGGCAGTCGGCGGTGAGGTGGCGCGTACCGTTACCGCGTCGTTGGGAGATAGTCAGCCGCGGGATCACATGTGGCTGCGCGTGGCGGGGCGGGGCGGGGCATCCTGAAACCGGCCGCCTGTCCGTGCACCGTCGCTGCCAGTAGATTCCAATTCCAAACCTAGCGGTATCAAAACCCCTCCGCTTCTTGACGGCCCTGTTGTTATTGTTGCAGGACTGCAGCCGCGGCCCGGCCTGGACACGTGGTCCGTGGTGTGGTACTGCGGCATGTTCGCGGCCTTCACGTCGCTGTTCCTCATCATGCCGTGCTCGCAAGTGCTGTGCCGCGCCGGCCTCCTCCACGGCCACGGCGACCCGCGCCTGCGGCCGCGCGCCCCGGGCCTGAGCGCGCTGCAGACGGCGGCCGGGTACGCCACGCCGCCGCCGCCCTACAAGCAGTTCGCGCCGCCGTCCTACGAGGACGTCATCGTGGACCTGGGCTGGCAGCCGCTGCCGCCGCCGGGCAAGGCGGTGCCCGTGTCTGCGCTGCCGCCGCCGCCGTTCCCGCAGCCGCCGCCGGAGAAGGACAAGGAGGGCATGGAGGCGCTGGACGTGTACGTCATCCCGCTGCGCCCCGAGGCCGCGCCGTCGACGCAGGCCGCGGCGTGATGCAGCCGCCGACGCGCCCGCCAGGCCGCTGTGATCTCAGTCCCTCATCCGCGTCCAGAGAGCTCCGTCGACGCAAAGAAGTGACCTCTGGCCGTGCCCCTCCGGTCGAAGGTGGCCGAAGCACAGAGAAGGCCCGGCCTGCCAGGCCTTGGCCCGGCGGCCCGGCGGCGTGGATCAGCGCGCGTGGCGCCACATGCGGCGGAGCGCCGAACCACCGACCATTCCTGCGAAGAGGTGCCGCGAGGCTGGCGGACCTCATTCATCCATCTACCGACAAGCCACAGTGGGTCTAGTCATTTAAACTAAACTCTGGCTGCCACACGGCCCCCCAATGACCATCACTCGAAGGCAGAGACTTTTCCCAAGTTTTGCCGAAAAGATGAATTGGAGCAACGGCAGATCGCAGTGCGCGCTCGTCACCGTAACTCTGACAAGCAGCGGGCGCTGCCTTCTGCCATCGGAAGTTCGACTGAACGAACTGTGTCATGTGGGCAGTGGTAATGGCGCGAATGGCTTGCCCCTGTCATTTATTCCATGTAAGTTAGGGATTGTTTTAATTCGAAGTTAGACGGTTTTGTAAGCCAAGGCATCTCTCGATCGGGATTCCTTAAAATTCGACTCATAAGACTGACCTGATATTTTTTCTTTGTTATTGTTGAATTAGATGGGGCTAAGATTTGTTGTAGTGTTTCAACTGGGTAGTGCTTTGCTATGTAGTTAACTTATCGTAGTTAGGTTTTTAAATTTATTTGAGCTGCAATGTTTCCTGATCGGGAGGTGGACTGGAGGTTTTTCCCTGTGTTCAATCAACCTATCGATTTGTGAGAGAGAGATTGAAACTTCGTGTATGTTTCCGAACAGGGCATCTGATTGGTTCGAATTTGTGTGTCCCTATTGTGAAGTATTTTGTGTTAATTGCGTTTCTAATGTCTTTAAACTCAAACCTTGTCGTTCGTAAGAGTAGTTTTAATGAGTGTCATGTACCTGCCATATTAGAGTATACTTTTTTCATGTGCGTATTCGCTGTGCCATCCAGTTGGTGCATATTTTTGTATACATATTTAGCCAAAGAATCTTCCCCGGGTGTCGAGAACGGAGAAACTCACACTCAAGATGTCTTACACCAAAGTGTAAACTTAGCAGTAAAGGAATTTTCATAACATGAGACTCGGCTTTTGTCTTCGCGTCCAAGCACTCTTCCCGACCACTTGAAAGAAACCAGAGGCTTCGAAAGCCGCAAAATCTTATCGGAGCTTTGCGGCTTCGCAGCTCGGCAGTCCGGGGATTCTAGAAAGAGCCGGCGCCAACGTCGAGTAGCACCTACACACCTAGTACTTCTGCACACTTATCGTATCGTACGTAAGGATTGACGTATGTGTGTGGGTCGTGGGTGGACTTGTGGGTACACCTGGAAAATCAATTCAACTCATAAAATTCAATAAGTTCAATTTAATAAATACCTAAGCAGAATAGGTAAATATCGTCCCAAATTTATGTACTGTGAATTGTACATGGATTATACCTGCACACAAACACGTCAAAAAGTTATTGAAAGTACAAAAAACATTGAGTTTGAAGTCGTTGGCCAGCCCATACCGGTGCTGAGCTGCCCGGACCGAAAGCTGCACAAGCACGCGGACCGACAGTCTCTGGGCGGCATTGGCCTTGACGGCCCCGGCCAATTGACACTCGTGCCGCGAGCCAGGCAGGGCCAGGCAGGCCTACCCGCTTGACGCGATGACGTCATCGAGGGCATCGGGGATTAAGGGTTCGTAGAGGACTTTCTCTTGAACGTCCGCATGCACACAGAGCCAAGCACGCTGGACGTTTCGGACGTCACGCGAAAGAAAGTTTCGGAAAAGAACCTGCCATGCTGATGAGGGAAACAAACTGTGTTCGCCTGGGGGCGACAATCCCACAATCTCGCGTCTGAAAGCTCGGAAGAAGGCAAAACGTGCGACAAAAGAAATCAGAATCTTAAACCATCCGACACGATCAAACAATTGCTCACAGCAACATTTTGAGTGAAGGACCCCTGGGTCGAGACACTGTCACCGGACGCTCTTCCATGCGACCAGTGGCTGATACCCAATCCTGCCAAGAGGTCTTCCCTGTGCGAGAAAGTAGTTGCAATCCCCGCTTGCCTCGTAATCCCGGCAGGCTGCATCCGCTCTGGAGCCGGGACCATGTGACTCTAGGTGTCACCATTTTCGAATCAAATTTGTTAGCAAGAGGGACCGAGAGACGGAGGCAGCGATGGTAAAAGGAACGTGTGAAGGTGTGTGTGTGTGTGTGTGTGTGGGTTTGCGCGCGGCGTGTGTGTGTGAAGCCCATACATTGGGCAGAGAGAGAAAGCAAGCGATGTGTCACGAAGCGCGACGGCCAGTTGTCGCCGGTGTGCGATGACAGCGGTGGCTCCCTGACCTATTTAAGAGCATCGGCCCAGCGCGCTACTCGGCGCTACTCCCGGCCCTGGTGTGCTACGGACTGGGCCGGGCAGGCCGAGCAGGACGCCATGATTCGATGTGTCCTACTATGAAAGTCAAGGCTCGCGCACCCGCGTCTTTAGCCCCTGGCCCTTGGCAACTTGGTGGGCGGGGAACCGCCGTGGAGAGCGCCGACCGAGCGAGCTGGCCTGCTGGGTGGGTTGTCTACCCGCCAGGCGCTGCTCGGCGGTGGCAGGGCGAGCGCCGCGCAGGCAGGCAGCCCAACGCACGCACGCCGTTTGGCTCGAGGCACCCAGCAGTGTCAGGAGGGTCGCCTACCTCAGTCTGCCTGCTAGGCTTCGCTAACGACAAGCTGGGGCATGGCGGTTGCGGTTATTTAGCATTCCATTTTTCGGCGTAAAGCTGGACTGCCTTGAGCATGCGGCGTGTTGATGGGCAACCCACCGCTAACAGCTTCCTCGACTCACAGAAAAAGCGTCACAGAAAAAGTAATTTTGAAAAAAGAATGTGTCAAAGATCATTGGACACCGGGCATCTGTTTCTCAGACCCTTAGCAACGTTCCATATGAACTTCAGGCAAATCGGAGGTGATCGACCACTTTCGTCGAAAAAATGTTAATGTTAATCATGGTTATTTCACGTCTTGGGACAAAAATTTAAAATGGCCCAAATGCGAGTATGTTGTGCTGGAGCACACTCCCCCAAGACTCCCAACAATATTTCGAGGGCCATTTCGGCTCTAATCGGTCTTTTTCTGGCGAATAGACAACTTCTTGAGAGGAAAGCGCAGATACCAAAGATACTATCCCGTCCGTAGGGAAGCTTAGGTTGGCAAATCTTTCAGCAGTGATGCAACGTGGGGCTTTGATTATGCAAAAGCACTGTGCCCCTCGCTGTGCCCAGGAGTGCAGGCTTACAATGGTTGAATCGAGAGAGAAATGAAGTAGTAACAAAAGAAATCGATGTCTCCACACTTTATTTGTGCTGATGAAACTGAGAATGAGAAAATATAACATGCTGCTGGTTTTTAGAAGTACCTATTTATGGAATGTGTACAATACAGCCAAGGACTTACACAACATATGTACGTCGCAGTAGAAGAGGGGTAGTTCTATGAGCATTGTCAATTTTACAATATTGCATTTAAAAAAAACGTGTCTACCACTAAACCAGCAACCTAAGCAAGTAAATCTACATAAGGTAATCACAAATTTACAATCAAAACCCATGTTATCGCTGTCAACTTGTGAAATAAATAATTTGAAAGAAAAAACCATGCATAAAGTTATGTGATTTACTAAAGAAAAATGATCAACCTGACACACGGAATGTTATTTCTTTAACTATGTGTCTGTTGAGAGAGACTAATATTAGTTGTGGCTTGGAAAACACTTTTATGCTACTACAAGGTACAAGTACTTTTTCACCTCTGACATCACTATTTAGTGTCTTTACAAAACGTTGATCTATCTGTCCAACGACGCCACTCGGTGGTAAAATTAACAGAGTCATAGTCGAACAACTCGTACATACAGGGAGCCAGCCCTTCATTTAAACCTTCAAATTCATCTAAAACTAAGTGAGCCATTTAGTTTTGGCTAGCAGATCAATTTAACTGTAAGTGAAAACGTTGTGTGTACCCAAATTTATAGTAACTCGTATGACTCACTTAATTCTTGGGCACCTTCTCACTTTTATATAATTCAATTTCTTTTCTACCAGAAATCGTTTTATCGGCCACAATTTCAATCCACCTTAACTAAGCGAGTAAGTAGGAAAAGTATAGTATGTACACTTTAAAACCTAAATTCTTGATTGTATGTTTTCTTGCCTAATAAACGAAACAGAAACAAGCTTTCTTGCGACCTCGTCTTATCATATAAGACCCACAAGTTCAGTCTCCCATGTCTTTCACCGACAAAAAGATCCTCGTCGGTTTGGTGAATCGAAATTTTTAACCGCATATCAAGACAAAAATGCACATTCTCAGGCAAAGCGGATAAATTGAATATTTAACTGGTTCTTTAGAGTAAAGCATATGCCGGAAAACCATTTTTTTAGCATAAGAGAAACATGATATGCAGCGTAATTTAAATCTCTCCTTTAAACACAAAACAAAAACAAATATTTTTTTAAAATCAATTTTGGGATTTTCCTACTTTTGAAAGAGTTCTAAGGAAGACAAACCATTCACCAGGGACTCTCAAGGCCAGCAGAAACACCCACAGACTGGCTCCCACCCAACTCTGCTTTACCCTGCCCTAAGATATAATAGTCCATTGATAAAGTATGCAAAATACACGAAGCAAAAGCACTTTCTTAACAACTTGGTCGGCTTTTAAGGGAAGCCTGGATGTTTCTTTTCATTGCACAGCTGTGTCACCATGTGGCCTTACTTAAATCAGGAAACCAATGGGAAGAATTGAGTTGATATTGGAGGCTTGACATACCACAAGATATTTCATAACAGAAAAATAATTGAGCTGCTATAGATGTGCTTTCTAGATTTAATACATTACAGCAAAGGTGAATTACAGGTTAAAAGCTGGAACAGTGAGTACTCGATCATTGCTCTCACAACCAAGGGGAAATAACTCCAGCCAAATTTGTACACCGAAATTCATCAATTATGTAAAACTCACCGAAAATCATCAAAATTTGACTGATATTCATCTAATTTTGACTAAAATTCATTGAATATTGACTGACATTCATCGAAATTCGACTGAAATTCATTAGTTTTGTACACTGAAATTCACAGTGATTTCCCCTTGCTCACAACCTTATTTCGTAAATAACATCTGTGAACCTTACGCTTTGCAGCATTTATATTTCATACCCAGAATATTTGCAACAGAGATGGTTTCGTCGGTCATAACATTTTCCTAAGGTATACAGGGGAGTTCTATCCCCGGCTGAAAATGCATAACCAGGTGCTCATGAAGTAAATCCAAGAGTTTGGGATGATGATCTTACACGAAATACACCTGAAGCTGAAGCGATATTTTTCCTCGATAAATGAAAACTGGCACATCAAACACAAGACTATAACTTACATATTTATTTTCATGCCTGAAAAGTTTTCAATTAGTCTGATGGATGCAATTAACTCCTATACCTCAACAGAGCCAATAAACGTACGCGCGCGCGCGGCCACACACACACATCCACACACAAACAACACACACGCACACACACACACACACCATAATCTTTAGATGTATATAATCAATAATCGTTAATGACAATAGCGGGACATGGCACACAATGCATCAATATTTAACTGAAGAGATGAAGGTGATTTTGTTTTTCTCACAAGAACGAAGTGCAAAGTAAGGATTAACAAATTAATACTTCAGGTTATATAACCACTAATGTTTGATTGAATTATATATTCATCAATATGGATAAAGTGCTTTCGATTGGTCGTGAATACAATCAGAAACACATTGAGATCGATAGCTTTTGATACAATATATTATGTTATGCAAGACAGTCGTTGGAACCACCTGTTGGATCAAGTACCTACGATAAGTAGCTGCCAGCGTGCTAAGGGAATGGTACGCAGGAGAAGGTTGTCAAATGGCGGTTCGAGAAGGGAAGAAAATAAAACTGGTGGATGCAGGAATGCTACTCTCGTAGTTTGTGCCACTCAGCAATCTGCCTGCGCGGTGAGTTGCACACCTCATTCCAGTGGTGTAGAGCAGAACCAGTGCATCTGGAACCGCCGAGTTCCAGGCGCCCAATCACCTAAAAATTAAGAACGATGCAGGTAAAAATTACTCTGTTCTGATGGGTGAGCGGACAGAAGCTGACGGGATCCTTACCTCATTCTTAGTGACACGGTCCCAGTCTAGCAGGAGAAACTCAAGCGACACAGACTCCAGTCCCTCAGCTCCAGCGGGGACCTCCAGCACGAACGACTCGTTGAAGACGGGGTTCAGGGTGCGCTTCTTGACGTGGGTCTTCTTCTTGGCCACCCGCTGCCCGCCGACAAGCAGGTACATCTTCACGTATGGGTCTGTGGGCAGCAAACGTGGTCGTGATTCATCAGCAACGCTCGTGGTTCAATTTTTACAATCACCGTTGGCAATCAAGATCAACAATGTAAACATTCAAGTTTAGCAGCAGCGCACCTGCAAGCCCTGTGACGTCCATCTTGGGCAGGTTCCTGGCCTTCAGGATGACCACGGTCAGCCTGTTGGCAGCGGGTTGCCAGCAAAGCGACACCAGAATCTCTCCTCGTCCCTGCGACCGGATCTGGAACAACAGTACAGCAGTGAACCCCCTGTGCTCCCCAACAACAGCGAGCACCAAAAAAAGTTTCTCTACTTTAGTACATATTTTGTACAGAGTTTTTGGTGTCGAAAAGGTACGGAACTTCCACACATGCGCGGAACACATGTATGTTCTCTATAGTCTGCAAAGGAATCCATATTATGGGTACGTAAGTAACGTTGCTGTCTTACCTTAAGACTGCGAGGCAAGATGTTTTTGGTGAGCATCTGCTGGTGGTTGTCCTTGTTGGTCAGGTCCACGGAGCTGAGGGCGCAAAACACCTCCCCGATGATGTCATCTCGAGAGTAGCGGTCGAAGCTCAGCACCACGAAGTGGAGTGTGATGCTCTGGCAACGGCAAGGAAAAAAATTACTGCGATGCTGTGAGGGTGCGATACAAGATCGAGAAGAGTACTTAAGAGAGCACACTCTTTATCTCATCAACTGGATCAAGGGAGTGTACTTGGGCACTGAGTCTATTACGCAAGTATTTGAAACATCGATTAGTACTTGCCCAAGTACACTCCCATCGATGTATGTACTTGTTTGTACACAGAATCCAAACGCTATGAATATAGTAGCGTCAATTGGTGCAATGCAAAAGTATTGGATTTTGTAGTGTGGCGATGATAAGACTAATTGAAACGCGACACCGGAAGAAAAAGTGGAGTGATAAAGCAGAACACTGCTAGAAAAAACAAGAAACCTTCAACAAGTCCTCTGGCATTTTCTTTTAAGGAATGGATTGTGCTTAAGGTAAAACAATTGTTGTACAAAGTACAGTGGAACTGGCACGACAAGTGCAGTCCCAGGCACCATCGTATACTTTTTGCAATCCTTGTTGAACTTTCTACATTCCCCGTTGTACTTTCTACATTCCCCGTTGTACTTTCTACATCCCTCGTAGCATTTTCTACAACAACCGTTGTACTTTTCACAATCCGCGTTGTACTTTCTACAATCCTCGTTGCACCTTTTTTTTTACAGTTTTCGCTGAACTTGTTGTACAATTGACAGTGTACCTGCAGCTGGTTTGCGTTGATGCCGTAGAAGGTGAAGTCCTCGTCGTACTGGGGGTCCCGAGACTTGCGCAGCACGCGGGTCTTGACCTTGTGCTGTTTGTCCGGCAACAGCTGCAGCTTGACGTACGGGTCGCAGCTGCCCAGGCCCGGGTCCTTGGCGGGCAGGTTCTTGCACTTGACCACCGTCACCACCAGCGTGCTCTTGTCCTGGCGGTACCTGCGACCAGTCGTTCAATAAGTATCAAAAAACTAACCAACAAAACTAAACTGCAAAAAAAGAGAGAGAAACCAAGTAAAGAGTCCAGATGTTTATGGCGTGGGTGATGTCTGTCCTGCTACTGGGAAGGTGCCACACTAAATGATTATAGACTTTTTCTCCAAAAGTACGGACGTGCAAGTGTAAGTTGTGTACAAATTTATTCATAAATTAGGTACAATTTAATATATTCTTAAGCATAATACAGATATGTTGTCCGTACGTAGTGTATGTCTTAAATTGTGAACACAGCTGCTGACATAGTCAACACTTACAGAAGATAAAAGCACATGAACACCCAATAAGTGGCCCCTTTCTTCTCGTCTCTCTGGCCGAGAGGCGACGCGACATGTGTCCGAATTGGAACGCAAGCAACCAAACCACCCGATCCCTGTCTCGGAAAGTGGCGAATTAGCGGAGCCCCCACTGCGAATTCGATTTGCCGGCCATTCTGTGAGAACAAAGGTCGCTTTCTCTGCGTGCGTGCCTGGCCATCCGTGGCGGATATACCCTGTGCACACGCCAGGGAGTTTCTTTGTGTGTGTGTGTGTGTGTGTAGGTGTGTGTAGGTGTGTGTGAGAGAGAGAGAGAGAGAGAGTTCATGCGCTTGCGTGAGTGTGAGTGAATATCTCTCTCTGTCTCTCTCTCTCTTGTGTGTGTGTGTGTGTGTGTGCAGCGAAACTCTGTGGAGTCCACGGGGTCCAGCCATAGAGGGAGGCGGTGTGGGTCAAGAAGAAAAAAGGGAGAGAAAAAAGAGCATGGCTGCGAGCTGTTCCCGGTAATGGCGCCATTTATTCCCAACCGTTTTTCCGACCGAATGTATTTTCCAGATAGCATGTTGCGCTCTTCAACGGTCCCACACTCTGGTCTGGCCGGCAGTCCGGGGGCGAGTCACACCGATAGTAAGAGTGTTGTGTGTTTATTTTATTGACAAGGCTCGCAAACGGCCAAAACTGTTTAAAATAAATTATGGAAAATCCCGAAAGTTCGTTCTAAAAGCGTCCAGTAGCGTTCAGGATTTTCAGTGGCGTCATTTTTGAAAAAAGTATTTTATGTATTATACCTGCTGGAATCCCATTCATAATAGAAACATTTGAAGTATTTTCCGTATATCGGAGGTAATTTTTCCCCACCAAGTTCACAGAGAATTTTCGAGATTTTTCCAGCAGTGAGCGAAAAAAAAAACAAAAAAAACTGAAACCTTCAACTGTGACTGGCTCCCAGGGTCATTGATTTGTCTCGTGCGGTAATTTGGTTATGAGAAATCGGAATGTACAGCGCGACGGTCCCTGATGGGCCGTGCGTCCCTGGCCACGCCACTGGATGTCTCTTGAGCATTGCCAGACCAGAAAGGCCGTGCCTCTCGACTGTCGGATAATTGGTCAGCCCACCAAAATTTCCCGCTGGCTTTCGACCGCACCACATTTCCGCTCCATTTCGTGCCAAACTGGGCCTTTGAATCTATCCCCTTACTTCGCCTCGAGCGCGCGCACATGCAAATACACTGCCAAAACTTCTCCCAATACGCAAAAATATCAATTCGGAGCAAGGTGTTGTCATTCTGGGAGTCGCAGTATGATTACTCTGATTTGTAGAAGTTACCAAGCATAGTTTCTCTATTGCAAGTGCAGACTTTTCCTGACACATTGCTAAAATTTTGCTAAAAACGTTGCTCTGTGACTCGTGTTGCCAGAGCGATTAAGATGAGACACCGACAACCCCACATGGCCGTAGAAGCGTCGAAGTTCGCTCCCGGTTTACGCTTCAGAGTTATCTACGTGTGTGCCCCCCCCCCCTCTTTCTCTTTCCAGTCGTCTTTAATTTCCCCCAGCTGTGAAGCAAAGATGAAGAAGAAGAAGAAGAAGAAGAAGAAGAAGAAGAAGAAGAAGAAGAAGAAGAAGAAGAAGACGCTGATGACGAAGTTTACAGCCACTGAGCACTGAGCGCGCGAATCACGACGTGATGAGAAATTGCGCGCTGCGGGTAACTTTACGGCCGTTGAATGTGAATGTGAATCCGTAGGACTGGGCTGCCTGCCGAGCAGCCCAGGGGCAGGCAAGGCCTGCTTTGCAAAGTGCGTCCCAGGAGACAAAAGGGGCGCGCCCGTGTGCACGCGAGATGTGTGTGTGTGTGTGTGTGTGTGTGTGTGTGTGAACCGCACCGCGACGCCCTTGGTATAGGTTCGCGTCAAGCGGCGAAATGTTAGTTAAGACGCAAGTCATAGCGCCGCCCCTCCCCCCTTAACTCCCCTTCCCACCCTTTTGGCCCATTACGAGGGCTTCCTGCCTGTCTGCCTGCCCTGCCTGTCTGAATTAGGGGTGTGCGAATCAAGGATTTTCGTTTCGAATCGAATCGTCATCACAAATTGATGACATTTTCATCAAGGCTCCTATACTTTTCGCATGGCCGTGACAACAATGTTATCAATGTTTTGATGACGTTAGGAAAATTAGCCTCGAAATTGTCATCACGTGACGACTCAAATTTTCACAGTATCCGACTCCGAATCGACTCCGATCGAATCAGGCCTGTTTCGATTCGATGTGATTCGGTACCGAACCGATTCGCATATCCCTAGCCTGGCTCCGAGGCCGGCGGGGCCGCCTACCTGAGCTTGAAGGACAGCTGGCCCAGCTGGCCGGGCTCGGCGAGTTGCTGCTGCAGGCGCTTGACGGCGTTCTTCTCGTTGGCGTCGTCCTCCTTGGCGGCCGGCTGCACGGCGGACCGCTCGGTCTCCGTGTAGAGGCGGGCGGGCTCGGGCGGCGGCGCCACGGCGGCGGCGGGCAGCACGGCGCCGGGGCCGGGCAGCCCCGTGGGGTCCGCCTTGCCATCGCGCGTCGGGCTGGGGGTCCCGGCCTGCCAACACCACACACTTGCATGCGACATCGTGGAGAACGATCGGCCGGACACAACAAACTCAACACTTAACTGCACTCTTATAACCTTACGAAGTATTTTGAGCATACATATAACAAACTAAAATACTTTGTTATACGAAGAAATAGTTTGCAAATTACGAAGTATTTTCTTTGTAAGCTTATGTATGCTCACCTCCGTACTATATTTTTCCGTACCATTTCCGTACAAAAGTAAGGAATTTTTTACAGTGTAGTAATTTTTGGGAATTCATTCTAGATTTCTATGACAGTGCTGTTTCGGTGGAACGGCTACCCGTGTTTCTGCGGTGCCTTGTACGCCGAAACAGGCCTTTTGCCACTGCACGGCGTTCTGAACGGCCGGCGTGTGCTGCCGATACCCATTACAAACACTTGCTGCCCTTGACGAATGTGGCGTGCAGGGCAGACTGAGGGAGGGAGGGAGACAGAGAGAGAGAGAGAGAGAGAGAGAGAGAGAGAGAGGGGGGTGGGGGGTGGGGACGAAAGCATGCGAGGTGGAGTGGGAGGGGCGAGAGGAGGGGGTAGAGAGAGCTGCGATCTGCATATAATTGCAGCCTAAACCCGCTTCAAGATCCCGATGTGAGTTTATCGCCAAGGCCACGCCGATCAAAGCGAAAAAAAAAATTGAAGCGTTCAAACTTGCCTCGGAAAACCCTGCCTTGCTGTAGCCAGAGGTTGGAGCATGCCATTTTGTTTTATCAAGTTGCTACCAAAAAATAGCTGCCCGGACGGTGCGGTGCACCGTGAGACAGAAGACCGGCTTTAGCGGCCAAAGAACCCTAGACGTGTTTGGAGCCACAGAGTCGCTATAACGTATTCTACCTAAACGAGTGACACTACCAATAGATTCCTCGTTCGGAGAGCAATTCATTGGTAGGGTCGCACGTACGGTTTGAGTCTCATTTAGCGACTCTTAAGCTCAAAATGCGTCCGGGATTTTGACCACCTGCACCGGTCTTCTGGCCCACTGTGCGGCGCGGCAAGCGCCATTTTTAATAAGCGAAATCGGAGCCAGCGCGGCACGGCGGCACCGGCTCCTGATTTACGCGTGGACGGACCGCGCTGCCGAACATCGCGATATAAAATTAATGGGAATGCGGAGTGCGGTCCCGAGAGGGAGGGAGAGAGAAAGACAGAGACAGAGACAGAGACAGAGACAGAGACAGAGAGAGACAGAGACAGAGAGAGAGAGAGAGAGAGAGAGAGAGAGAGAGAGAGAGAGAGAGAGAGAGAGAGAGAGAGAAAGAGAGTGAGAGGGAGAGAGACGAGAACGACTCCCGGACTCAGTCTGCAGAGCGAGGCAAGCAAAGGGCCGGCAAAGGCAGAAAAAAAACAGCAGCAGCAAAAACAAAAACAGGTGTTTTGACTTTGCGCGTAACTTGGCCCTCCGTGAGGCGAATTAATGGCGAGGTAATGGTGCGCAATAGCAGAGAGAAAAGGCGCGGCAAAGACTACGCTGATTGGTCCGGCCAGCAGGAAACCTCGACCAACCAGCGTTCGCGAAGGAAGGAAAAAAAAACCGCTGACTCATCTTCCGGTGAAACTCGGATCCAAGATCGCCGGCCGCAGGGCAAGGGCCCAGGTGTCTGGCTTTGCACTCCGCCCAGAGCAAACGGGCAGCGGGCCGCGGGGCGGGTACAGTGTGGTGGAAACGCGTATAAGCCAAGATAAAGGAGAAATTGTGGCTTTAAAATGAAAATACGTCGCACGCCGCAGTGTGCTGGCCCACTGTATCGCCACGCAACAGCCGCCTACACAGCAAACCAACAGACGTACAGCAAGATTTTTTTTGCGACGTGATGTCATTTTTCTCACGCGTTTCAGCCACTTGCTCGGAAAATACACTCAAATCCCCTTGGATTTCAAGGCGGCTTTTACCGTGTTGTGACTGCGCGGCATTCGTCTGTAGGAGGGTGGAAGCGTTGCTAGAAAATGTGGTGAATGCACGACAAAAACGCATCCAGCGCCTGTGAGAAACATTTCTCACACGCGGTTTGCGACAGTGTACCCGGTGTCGGCCCACTTATTCGAGGCAGCCCTGTCCTCAGGAATGCTCGGTCGAGTTGACGGAACTCTTAAAAAGTTAGCACGATGCGAGGAAGTTAGGTTAGGTTGGGCCGACCTTGGCCAACCCTCGGCCCACAGGAGGAAAAGCGAAATGGCTGGCTAATTCCTCACTTGCATCCGGCATGAAACAAGTTCTGGTGAAGGAAACTTGGAATGAAGAACGATCCACGAAGGTGGCTCTGAATCCTGGCCTGCCCTGGCCTTCCTTGGCCTTACCTGGCCTTACCACGGCCACGCTCGGCCCTTCGACATACAACAATCCCAGCAACATCGAAGCGCTGTCCAAGTTGTGGACGTGGTCTGCGCCAGCAAAGCTGAGTTGGAATCGACTTTCTTCCGCCATCGGTGGGCGGGGAATTTTTCAGAGCCCGCATCCGGATAGTTTCTTTGTCCCAATAACCGCACCAAGAAAAGAAAAGAGATGGGACAACGCTGGTGGGCTGTGGCCAGCGAAATTGAACAGAAGGCTCATTTCGAACATTGCCTTCGTCACGCCGTCACTCTTCTCTCTCTTTCTCTCTCTCTCTCTCTCTCTCTCTCTCTCTCTCTCTCTCTCTCTCTCTCTCTCTCTCTCTCTCTCACGCCCCTTGAGTGCGAGGGAGACAGCGACTGTTCGGCGCGTCGGGTGATAGCGCCCGCCAAGTCGGGGATAGGCTACGCGCCGCACTCGCGTGCTTCGGATTGCCTACCCACGCTTCTGCAGGGGCTTCCCCATTACCATTACCCTCGTAAAACGAACAAATTAAAACTTGTATATTTTTTTATTAGTTTTTTAGTAAATTTTGTTAAATTTTAAAAATTGAATTAAATTTGACTACACTTAAGTATTTTTAATTAATTTTCATTTGCAAAACTAGAATTTGTTAACCTTTGTAAACTGGATTTATTCAATTTAATTTAAGATTTAATCAAAGCAGCTTACAAAGATTGACAAATTCTAGTTTTGCAAATGAAAATTAATTAAAAATACTTAAGTTTAGTCAAATTTAATTTAATTTTTAAAATTTAACAAAATTTACTAAAAAAAAAACTCAGAAAAAATATTCAAGTTTTAATTTGATCGTTTTACGAGGGATAAGGCCTAGACGCCTCAAGAGGACGGGATAGGCAACGCGCCGCACTCGCGTGCTTCGGAAGAGATGCTGCTTACCCCAGGCGGCGACTTGCCCGGCCCGGTGGGCGAGGGGCTCTTCTTGAGGTACTGCGTGGGCCCACCGGCCGGGCTCTTGACGGCGGTGGTGCGCCGCGGGTGCTGCTGCAGGGCGAGCGGCTTGTCCACGCGCGGCTTGCCCGCCAGCTTCTCGTGGTGCGCCCAGTGGCTGCGCCGGCGGTAGCACACGCACGTCACGGCCGCCGTCAGCACCAGGAACAGCGACGCGCCCAGGCAGATGCCCACGATGGCAGGCGTGCTCACTGCAAGAAAAAGCACCCTTGTTATTCATGCGGTGAGTACACTGCAAAGTCCATGAGATTATAAAATAGGGCAATGAAGTGTGGTGTGATCTAGTGCGTACACATAGTGGGCCTCGTGTGAGAGGGACGCAGAGCGGCGGAGCGGCAGCCAATCAGAACGCATTGGTGTCCCCTGGGCGAAACCCGCCCCCGGGAAACCCCGTGCGAGGCTAGGTATGAGAGTTAGTCGCGGTCAGACCAGCCGGCCGACCGGCCGGCCGGGGTTTCCCGCCTTGGGAGCAGCGCACGATTTTGTTCTCATACCGAAGCCTAGTCTCGCGCAAGCTACCCCGCGCCGCCGCCCAGGGGACACCAGGCGCTCGCTCTGCGTCCCTCTCACACGAGGCCCACTACGTACGCACTGAGAATGAAAAAGTAATGATCAATACCCAATTTTGGGCAAGGTATACTATCACCCAAGTGTCTCAGCTACCTACATGGCTCCATAGTATTATGACGCAAATTTGGGCGAGGAAACCTTCCTCACCCATCTTTGGGTCATAAAGAATTCCTCGCCCAAAATCTTAGTCATGATCATGCACGGCTCTTTCATTCTCAGTGTGATATGTACTTCAGGGTTGTTAACGTTACTTATAAAAAAATTGATAGTGCAAAGAACGTTTTTTTTAAACGGACTATGACGATTAATTTTGGTCATGTTGATTGTGGACACTAACTACAGTAAGTGTGAAAAAGATCAACTGAACTGTAGTTCCAATATTTTTTATAGAGTCACAAAAGTCATTCTTTAAGCGCGTATGTTTATAAATAAAGGAGGAAAACGACATCGACATGGTGCGCTGGGGCCCCTCCCCCTCCTACTTCTTCCGAATGACAATTATTAGCTTTTTAACGGCGATACACCACTGCCGCTCACACCCACGGCCATTCGAACGCAGATTGTTTTTTATCTCTCTCGCTCTCGCATGCCGTCCGTCCGGTCCCGTCCGCGCGACATCAATTTTCTTTTATGGCCAGTAAAACCCGATTGGCTTCGGCTTGAATTTTAATCGGGACAGACCATCGTTCTCCCTTCTCCCCCTCTCACAGCCACTCTGGCGACCTTCACACCCTTTTCCGGATTTTGTTTTCGTTTCTGCACCTCAGCGGACGCTGCGGGCGGGAGGGGAGGGGTTATGGTCAATTGCGTGAGCGGCCGCGGTTGCCGCACTGTCCAGCGAAAAATAGCGAATCCCATGGGATTCGCGCGGTCAGGGTCGGCTCGGTTTTTCCCCTTGAATTTGGTTCCAGACGAGTTTTGACTTTGTTAGACTCTTTTCGGGCCAGTTCCGGCTCGGTATCCCGGCTCAGTATTCCGGCTCGGCATTCCGACTCGGTATTCCGGCTCGGTATTCCGGCTCGGTATTCCGGCTCGGTATTCCGGCTCGGCATTCCGGCTCGGTATTCCAGCTCGACATTCCGGCTCGGCATTCCGGCTCGGCATTCCGGCTCGGTATTCCGGCTCGGTATTCCGGCTCGGTATTCCGGCTCGGTATTCCGGCTCGGTATTCCGGCTCCTCTTGATCCTCGTCCTCGCCGGCCGTTGTCACGTGACCCGTCATTAATCTTGTTCAGTGTCAAACCGACGGCCGCGCAGCATAGACCTGCCAGGCGGAAGGAAGAAAAAAACGAAGAGAGGCGGAAAAATCGTCGGTTCGGACAGGCTACAAGTGGTGTGCGCGCCATCCACCACGGCTGGGGCGCGGCGGGGCGCGGCGGGGTGGGGTGGCCCGGGGCCACAGCCCGGACACGCTGCCAGCAATGACGAGCATCCGTCACTGTACATGTCTATAACGAGCTGCCCAATCCAAGCGCATCATGCGGGCCGAAAGAACGCCACAAAGGGGCGATTATTCCGCGATAATCTTATTGACAGTCACGGATGACGCAACAAACACGGCTCGGCTAAAAAATAGAATGATGAAGGGAAAGAACATGTGGGGCCACGTCGCATGTTTCGCCTCCGGCCTTTCCCATCACACTCACAGACGCCGTGCCTCAATCAGATCGCTTGCTGCACAGTGGGTCTGAGGACCCATTGAGGCGGCAAAAATACTAGACGCGTTTTGAGGTGCAGAGTCGCTAAATGGAACTCGGACTGAACGTGTGACCCCACCAATGGATTTCTCGTTCTGAGAGCAATCCATGGGTGGGGTCACACGTTCGGTGCTAGTCCTGTTCAGCGACTCTGGAGCTCAAAACGCGTCTAGAGTTATGGCCGCGTGCACCGATCTTCTGGCCCACTGTGAGGCGCCCGTCCGAGCGGGTTAGCCAGGTTGATGGCGACGAGAGCAACCAGGGCGGGCGGGTTGTTTGTTACCTCGCAGCGCCGTCACGTGGATTGGCGCGGCTTGCCTGACACGCCGGGACGCCTCGCCTTCAAGACAAGGACGGACGATAGAGGCGAACAGGGCAAACATTTGAAAGCCGAGACGCAGCGGCGTGCCGCGCATTGTTCGTGGCCCGTTATGTCGCGGCCCCTTTGGTCGCCTCCATTGACTGCCGAATGGGGCCAACGGGCCGCCAAGGGCGCAGCGCCGCGCAGCGCCGCGCAGCGCCCACGGCACAGTGGGCCAGAGGACCGGTGGAGGCGGTCAAAACCCCGGACGCGTTTTGAGCTCCTGAGTCGCTGAATGGGACTCGAACCGAACGTGTGACCCCACCAATGGATTGCTCTCTGAACGAGGAATCCATTGGTGGGGTCACACGCTTGGTTCGAGTTCTGTTTAGCGACTCTGGAGCTCAAAACGCGTTTAGAGTTTTGGCCGCCGGTAGCCGGTCTCCTGGCCCACTGTGGGTGGGGAAGGGCACGGCAGGATGAAGTCAGTAAAGGTGCAGGTCCTCTTGTATTTCTTCGACTTCGCTTATGTCATTGCACTGCTACACAGCGGGCATGCATCGAAGTGCAATTTGCGCAACACGGTCTGACGGGGCTTTATTTCGCTCGGTGCACTATCGACTCCCCAGCGCAATTCAGCCGACTGCCAACACGGCGGATGGGCACACACAAGAGACAGCCCGATGAACAGACAGACAGACAGACAAACAGATAGACAAGCAGACGGATACACAGACAGACAGACAGACAGACAGACAGACAGACACAAACAGACAAACAGATAGACAAGCAGACGGATACACAGACAGACAGACAGGCAGACAGACAAGCAGACGGATGCACAGACAGACAGACAGACAGACAGACAGACAGACAGACAGACAGACAGACAGACAGACAGACACTTTACGCCGGCCTCAGCTGCGCTGGCCGTCGTCGTCACATGCCGCCGTAAAGTTATATGTGTTTTTGTTGTCCCTTTTGATCGCCTCGTCTCTCGTCGACGACGTCCTCCACGACCGTTCTCCAGGCCGTACGTACTCTAGGACGTGCTCCAGGCCGAGCTCTAGGCCGTGCTCCAGGCCGTGCTCCAGGCCGTGCTCCAGGCCGTGCTCCAGGCCGTGCTCCAGGCCGTGCTCCAGGCCGTGCTCGGCCGTGCTCCAGGCCGTGCTCCAGGCCGTGCTCCAGGCCGTGCTCCAGGCCGTGCTCCAGGCCGTGCTCCAGGCCGTGCTCCAGGCCGTGCTCTAGGCCGTGCTCCAGGCCGTGCTCCAGGCCGTGCTCCAGGCCGTGCTCCAGGCCGTGCTCCAGGCCGTGCTCCAGGCCGTGCTCAACTTCGCCTACACTTTACAACAACCAGATACAGTCGGACACTTGTTCAGCCTGCGACGCGGTGCCGCTGGCTTTGGCTGACCGGCCCAGCCAATGATCCCCCTTGTTTTGTTTGGCCAAACCCCCCGCCGGCACTCCTCCGCGGAATAGAGATTGAGATTGGAAGCGAACCGGGCCCGGGGTCCGAAGCCCGGGGCCCGAGGCCCGGGGGTGGGGTGTGGAGCTTACGGTTTGCATCTGGTGCAGCAGCGCTCGGCCAAACAAGGCAGACGGACGGACGGACGGATTCATGGTCGAACAGACAGACAGACAGACAGACAGACAGACAGACAGACAGACAGACTGCCAGTTTCTGACACATGACGTTGGTGGCAACGGCGGGGAGGTCGATCTCACACCCACGAGCCGGCAAGGCCAATTCACATTTCAGAATGGGGAAAAAATGAAAAAAGTAAAGAATGGCAACATTATTTTCGATCTGGCCCATAACTCTAGACGCACGCGTCGCGCAGTTGTCCCGGTCTGCAATATCATTCCGCGCGCTTTCTCGAGCAAGCGCGCGCGCACACACAATCACATAGTCGGCATGGAGGTGCAATAAGTGTGACAGAGGGCTCTCTCTACCTCCACCGAGTCCTTCGCGGTGGCAGGCATGGGTCACTGAACGTGCCACGCCGCGCCGCACCACGCCACGCTGCGCCACGCCACGCCGGGCCGCCCACACGCCCATATAGCGTCATCGTACGGTGTGGCTACGCTCCACTGGAGGAATATATATTAAAGACCGTGCGGCCCGGCGTGGCGCCCAGCGCAAAAATATTTGGCATTCTCTCGCGGAGCGACGCGCTGCGCGCCTCAGCCCCTTCACACTCACACACAAAAGCAAACACAGATACACAAACACACACACGCACATACACACGTGTACACGCGCACCCACGCACACACACAATCTCTCTCTCTCTCTCTCTCTCTCTCTCTCTCTCTCTCTCTCACACACACACACACACACCACAGAGAGTCGCCAACGCGTGGGCTCAAGATATTGCGCTGCTCGAGCGAGCCCCATACTTTCTCGGTAAGCAAAGCACACTGATGGCACTGCTACTGCTCTTCAAGACTTTGCTTATTCGCAAGGAAAGGAGGAAAAATGGCCCGGGGGTTCGACGAGGGGCAAGAGTATGTGTGTGTTGTGTGTGTGTGAGAGGGGGAGAGAGAGAGAGAGAGAGAGAGAGAGAGCGAGAGAGAGAGAGCAGCCTGCACCGCCTTCCGGTTTTGATCCCCTTGCTCCTTG